TATAAATTGCATTCACTTTATATTCATTGTTGCTGCTAAATCCTGTCTTTTTCAGTGACGTCTTGGTTTCTATAGTAACTAGTGTACTTGAGCAGAAAAATAATGGGGAGAGGAGAACACAGAAATGCTAAAAACAAGACACATATGTGGCAAAACACAGGGCATCTCACATTCAGTTGCACCATCATTGGGAAGCACTAACCTTGCTCTGTGAATGTTCCCGCTTCAGGGTCTAGTATACAAAATAATAAGGCCATTTCACAGAGAAGAGTGAAGAGAATAGCTATGTACAGATGCACAAATTAGAGAACAAAGAGAGTGCATGCAGTGCATATACACACACACACAATGTTCATATGTATATCTGGATGGATAGACAGAAATACAGTAATATACTTATCATTATCATTATCATACATCAATATTCTAATTTATTTCCCCAAATACTTCTGCAAATGTAACAAAACAGCATGATCTATGCACAAGAGGAGGGAGCAGACATGGGATATCCTAAAGTTTACAGAAGTACAACAGTGGTTTAGGACAAAAACCTTATAGAGTAGCCCACCCAAATCAGCAGTGTGAGAACTGAGCGTGCTCAGGAACCATAAAGTGGTAGCTGGCTGTTGATAGGAATAAGGAAAATCAGGAGAAAGGGGAATGAAATGGAATTGGTGCAAAGGAGAATTTGGGACAGGCGCAGAGATAACAGCAAATCTACCCATATCTAAATTGGTCATTTCCTAGTCCATACAAAAGACCAAATTGTTTTTATCCTCAGAGATGAAAGTGAGAGAATGGGTTGTGTGCTGTGGTCCATGGTAAGTCTAATCAATTTGCGGGTGGTGGGAATTCAAACTTCCTAAGAATTGAAAGCCATATTTGAACTTGCCATTAATTTGGTATGAACACACTAGACAATTTAAGTTTGACTGAAAAAGTAAATTTCCTCTGACACTTTGGAAGAAACTCTGGTGATGGATGCCAGAAAGAAGCATCACTGATAAAGTGATTTCTTTAAAGGTTTTCATAGTAAGTCAGCAATTTTATGTATTAGAGATCAAAAACATTATCACAGTATTTTGTGGTCGGATATAAACACAATTGGGTAGTAAAATTTATTTTTAATTTAAAAAATGATCCTACTCGTATATATGGAATGTGGGTCTCTGTGTAATTTTATAGGGGAAGATTTTCAATACATAGATTGTCAAAAATACTTACTGCAGTAGTTCTAAAATAATCTTAGCCACCATCCCGGGCACTTTGTTTATTGATATTATGGGATTTTTTATCTCTATTTTAAGCTAACAGTTGAAGACCCCAGTCTTTCAAGTGAAAAAAATCCAACAATTCAACAGAGATTTCAAAAATGCATTTTGCCAGTGGATTGAATTTATGTTTATTCCATATCCTGAACGCAATATAATTTGTTTATCTCTAGCTTGCTGTACACATAGAAGAAGCCTGAAGCAACCCCGCTTCTGTGTGTCAATGGCAGACAGTGCACTCTGTGTACTAAGAGAAGAGAAATCAGAGATAGTTATCCCAGCCCAGAATCCTATATAACTTCAGGAGAATATGTGGGAAAAAATCACTAGTGCTCCAAGGCTCATGTTTAAATCAGTGTGTCACTGAGAGGCTATTTAACATGTCAAAGAAGGTTTGGGGACAGCTAGGTTCAAATCTCTGTTCATCATGAAAAATGGGATAGGTGGTATTCAGTCAGTCACCATTTCTAAGCCTAAACCATCCTCCATGGCTGGGATGAGGAACCGCCTTTGGCTGTAAACTGAGCTATTGGAGCAAGGATGGGATGTAAGTATTGTCAGCAGCATCCTACAGCCAATAAGTTGTGTATGTGAGGTGGGTGGCTATACAAATTGAACAAATAAAATAAACAAAATGCAATTAATCAGTGGTGCCAAGCATGCTACAAGTTCAGTCAGTACACTGTCTTCCAAAGTGTTATCAGATTACAATACTGTCTAATTACTGTGAGGGGTATCAATGGAACCATCATTAATGGCAAATATTCCTCTGAAAGGTTGAGCTCAGAATTCTAAATAGGGTTAGACCTGGTACTACTTCAATGGGGGATCATCAGGAAGTCCCAGGGCTGCAGGCTAGACTAGGAAGTCAAACAAAAAGACCAGAAAGCAGCTATGGCAAAATTCTTCCATAGTGCTGCAAGAAAATGACATGGACATGACCTTGGAGTTCCCAGCAGTTAAGTTTGACTTGAGGAAGTCTTTACATTCACATTTCTCTGAATAATAGTTGCAGAAGGAAATGAATGGGTCCTATCTCATTCATGTCCTACTTGTGAGCCTCCCAAAGGCATCTGTTTCCATGAGCCCTTGGGAAAAATGGTGGTATAAAAATATACTTAGGTAGTTAAAAAGTCCTAGACTAAGCAGGTTTTGATCCAATCCAGCAGAATACTTCTCTTAAAGCATTGGCATCTTAAGGCAAAGAGGGCAGGAACGCATTCTGGAGCTCTCTCTCTGAAACTGCATGCTGGGGATTAAATGCAAATGGGACCCAAGTCTGTCACTTTTGCTACCTCCTTTTCTGCCTAATTACTCTTCTTCTTCTTCTTCCTCAATCTCTGCACAGAGAGCTTCCGAAAGAGGAACAATAGATATCCCTTGTTTACATTGCTTGCTTGCAGAAGGCATTGGAATTAGGCCAGGAGCTGTACATGGCCCTAGAGCGCTAGGCTGGCCGTCTCAATTTAAGTTAATGGAAAGAATGTTATTGGAGCTCCATGGGAGGCAATGCCTATGGAAGAACCAAGATTCTTCAGGAATATTCTGAATGGAGAAAGCCTTCTGAATGAAGACACCCTCCAGTGAAAAAGAGGGGACAGATCTGTCTGAAGTAATAAAAGCTGGTTTGATAGTGAAAAAGGAAGTATTGTCTGAAATGGTTTTAAGCTCTGACCTCTAAAGGCATCTTGGGATGTGGGTATCTCTCTTCCTCCCTCTCCCTCTTCTGTGCTAGAATTGTTATGTGTGTTCTCTCCACCCACACCAATACTCTAGATTTTTGTGCATACAACTACTAATATGGTAGCCATAAATCCATCCAGGTAAATATGCAAGCAACAATATAAAGAGCTCTACTAGCTCAGGCCTATGGTTCATCTAATCCAGCATTCTGTGCCCTTCAGAGGCCAACCGTATGTATTCAGGAAGTTCACAAACAAGAACAAAGGAATGGTAACTCTTTCCCATTTTGCTCCCAAGCAGCTGGTATATTCAAGTCAGCTGCTTGTCATAACATAAGTTATGAGCCACCCAGAGCTGTGGAGAGTCAGGTGGCATACAAATTTAATTTATTATTATTATTATTGGTTGCACAGTCAGCCAGTTTAGACTGGATCTGGCATTTTTATCCACCTATTGAGTCCTTCCCAGGGACCTGGGATAGGCAGATGTTGTTGTTTGATGTTGTTAAAGGTATAGTCGCAGGATGTAAGCTGTTCCAAGTAAGGCTGCCTTTTGCAATTGACTGATGGTCTTCAAGTGGTGCTCCAGACGTTTTGGGATTGCACCCAAGGCACCTATCACGATTGGGACTCTCTTTGCTTTCTTTTGCCAGTCATTCTACTTCTATTTGCAGGTCTTTATATTTTGTGATTT